AAATAAACCTGTTTATTACCTGAGATGCATTTGGTTACAGAATCACAGCTAAAAACAAGCAAGTTAGATCAAACTGTGGTACATGAAAAGTGATTTTGTTGCTGGGTAGAATGTGGGAATGTTGTCTTTTGGAGGAATATGTAAGATATTAGGACTTTTGATGGCAAAAGCCATAGAAAGCTGCACATAGAGCTTAATCAGCTAATCTTGTAGGGAGTGTTGAAAATAATGCAGACAGTGGAGCTTGAGGTCATAGGATTTCACTGGTCAATAGACTCCATGAAAAATTTGGCTAGAGGTCATTTGTATAAAATTTTTTCACAAATAATTCCTGTTTTCTCCATTCCCTGAGAAATTGAGTAAGGAAGAATTAAAAAGTAATTAGCTGATTCTTGCATAAATTATTGATTCTGTTGTGTGTTTATTACTGATGACTCATTCAGGTCTGCAGTGAGAAAGAAACAAGTGGTGTAGAAAGAATGAAAAGTCAGTTTCATGGAGAAAAACAGCACTAGGTAGTTTCAAATGGCAGTCCTGTGGTGAAGCAGATGCAGAAAATTTCAAGTTTTGTTTAAAGAGAAGGCTTTCCTTGTCATTTGAACACTAGGAAGGTACTGTAGGGTAAGACTCCTTCCATTTAAGCATTCAATATGTGGAAGGAATAGGCAACTTGTTTCCTAATCCAAAGAAGCAACTTCATATATAACCTGCTGTAACTCTGGTCCAAGCCTGGTAGCATCCACCACAACTTAAAAGCCAATTTGGAGGGATAACCCATGTTGTACTTGTTCTGGAAACAAGAAAGATGCTAAATTGATGGGTTATAGGTTCTTTCTCTGTGGTTTCAGTTCAGCACTGTAGCACCTATCTATGTTGGGCAGAGTCAGAAACCTAGTGAAGATACTGTGAGAGTTAATTGCATGGAGCTGTGAAGATGAAGTCAGTATTGTGTTTTAAAATGATAGGATGTTGAGATACCCAAGCTATGAGACATCTGCCATGGAGAGCTGCATACAGGCTGGGGAAGTAGGAAAGGAGAGACATGTATGAAAATTTTTCATGCATAGAGCTATCTAAGACCTTAGAGAATGAATCCCCACCTTTTTGAGCCAGAGCTACAGGATTTGTTTTTTTCCCTCACTGTGTCCACATTTCTTCCTTTCTTTTTAAAAAATTTATTGTTCTCTTATACAATGTATCCCAACTGCAGTTTCCCTCCCTCCACTCCTCCTAGTCCTCTCCACTGTTCCACTCTTCACTAGATCCTTCATTTTCCTTCAGAACAGACAGATATCCCAGGGATATCAGCATAACCCTGTATAACAAGTTACAATAAGATGAGGCACAAACCCTCATATAAAGGTTGGACAAGGCAACCTAATAGGAAGAAAAGGGTTCCAAGAGAAGGCAAAAGAGTCAGATACAAACCCCACTCCCGCCAGGCAGTGGTGGCGCACGCCTTTAATCCCAGCGTTTTGGAGGCAGAGCCAGGCAGATCTCTGTGAGTTCGAGGTCAGCCTGGACTACCAAGTGAGTTCCAGGAAAGGCACAAAGCTACACACAGAAACCCTGTCTCGAAAAACCAAACCAAAACAAAACAAAAAAAAAAAAAAACAAACCCCACTCCCACTGTTAAGAGTTACACAAAACACCAAGCTACACAATGATCACATATATTCAGAGGACCTGCTGCAGACCCCTGCAGGTACCATGATTGCTGTTTCAGTCTCTGTGAGCCTTTATGAGCCCTGCTTATTTGATTCTATGGGCCATGTTCTCCTGTGTTCTTCTTTTAGTTAGGAATATTTTTTACTATTAATTTTCTTGAAAATATTTTCTAGGCTTTGAGGTGACATTTTTCCCTTCTATTCTACATTCTTTGTTTTGGTTTTTCATAGTGTTCTAGATTTCCTAGATGCTATGTTTCAAAAAATTTTTAGATTTAACATTTTATTTGATTGATATATCCATATCTTTTTTCTTTTCTTTTTCTTTTCTTTTTCTTTCTTTCTTTCTTTCTTTCTTTTTTCTTTTTTGTTTTTGTTTTTGTTTTTGTTTGTTTGTTTGTTTGAGACAGGGTTTCTCTGTGTAGTTTTGGTGCCTGTCCTGTATCTTGCTCTGTAGACCAGGCTGGCCTCAAACTCACTGATATCCACCTGGCTCTACATCCTGAGTGCTGGGATTAAAGGCATGCACCAACTCTGTCTGGTGATATATCCATTTCTTGTATCATACCTTCAAAGCCTGAAATTCTCTGTTCCATGTCTTGTATTCTTTGGGTAAAACTTTCTTCATTATTTCCTGTTTGAATACCTAGATTTTCATTTCTAGAATTCCTTCAGTTTGCATTGTTTTTAATTGCTTCCATTTCCATTTTCAGGTCTTGAACAGATTCATTCATTTCCATTAAATATGTGCTTGTTTGTTTTTTCTTGACTTTCTTTAAGGAATCTGTTCATTTTCTCCAATATTTCATTTATTCTTCCCCTGTTTTAAAGGATTCATTCACTTCCTCTTTGAGAATTTCTATCATCTTTATAAAAGTGGTCTTAATTGTGCTTCAACTGTGTTGGAATATTCAGGGCTTGCTGTAGTAGGATAGCTAGAATCTGGTAGTGACATATTGCTCTGGCTGTTGCTAATTGTTTTCTTATGCTGGTATCCAGGCATCTAGATTTGAGGTTACTGTGAGTCTAGGTACTGATTTCTCTTGTTTGTCTTTGTTAGATGGGTGTTTTGTGCCTTGGTTTCCATTTTCTCTCTGGTCTTTGGGTCTGTGTGAGCTATGATTGATCAGGGGTCCTAACCCCAAGTTGGGGGCTGTAAATCTTGCAATAGGTATGGCCTATATTCCTTCAGGAAGTATCTGCACATGTTTGAGGGGGACAAGAAGGAAGAGGGGAGGGAGTATGGTGATAGTGTGGGGAGTGTATTGAGAGAGTGGGAGAGATCTATGACAGGTGGCCTACATGGACACCAGGAATTGCTGTGTCCTTTGTTTGAGCAATATTTCTCTGCACAAATTGGAGGGTCCAAAGCATAGATTTGGAGGGATGTGGGATTGGGGAGAGAGTTGGGGGTTATTATAATAATGGAGGAGGTCTACAGGCAAGCAGTCTATGAATTTCTGATGGCTGGAATGCCCTCTGGTCCAGCAGGGAGTCTTTGACTCAGTTTGCCTACCTGTTCTTCTGGTTGATTGGTTTGAACTTGAGCAGAGGATATCCATCTGATTTGAGGGTGGGGACATGACTTTAGTGGTGGCAGCTGAAGGGTTGGTAGGGGATTGTGTCTGTGGGAATGTAGGGAGTGTGGAAATTTCATTTGCTGGTTGCCTGTTATCATTGCCCAAGCATATCTTGCAGGCAGGACAAGTGTCAGTTGCATGCTTTGTGGCTGACTTGGTGTCCCAGTCCCACCATTGGGAGTCTTATGTGGTTGCAGAAAGTGGCTGGTTCAGCCTTCGTAGTCTTAATTACTTGGAGACCTCACTAGGGTCATTGGTATAGGTTCCAGGAAATTTACACTACACTTTTTCTATGCCACATGCTAAAAGCTCCCCTATTCCAGTTATCTCTCTCTGTCTTCTCCCCCTCTGTCCCTTCCTTACTCACCTGATCCTTCCTATTCTCATCTCAACCTGTCTCCAGTGCACCCACAAAATCTATTTCCTGTTCCAAGGGAGAGTCACACATCTCCCCTAGAGCTGTTCTTTTTACTTAGCCTCTCTGCATCTCTGGATTGTAGTGTGATTAATTGTGGTTGCTGTGATAATACTTTACTTAACTATTAATATCCACTTATAAGTGAGTGCATACCATGTTTGTCTATGTGTTCTGGGTTGCCTCACTCAGGATAATAAAGAATTCAAGGGGGCTGGAGAGATGGCTCAGTGGTTAAGAGCACTGACTGCTCTTCCAGAGGTACTGAGTTCAATTCCCAGCAACCATATGGTGGCTCACAACCACCTGTAATGAGATCTGGTGCCCTCTTCTGGCCAGCAAGGACACATGCAGACAGAACACTGTATACTTAATAAATAAAAAAATAAATAAATCTAAAAAGAAAAAGTTCTTTGAAAAAAGTATTATACTTATTTTTAAAAAAAAGAATTCAAGAAACTTGACAACAAACTAAATAATCCATTTCTAATGGGATACACCTCTAAAGAGAATTCTCAGTAGAGGAATCCAAAGTGGTTGAAAAACACTTGAATAATTGTTCAACATCCTTAGCCATTGGGGAAATGCATATCAAAACTACTTTGATATGCATTTTTATGTAAAAATGGTAAAGATCAATAACACAAGTGACTGCTCATGCTGGCAAGGACATGGAACAAGGGGATTCATTGCTCTTGCAAGTGAAAATCTGTACAGCCACTGTGGAAATCATTATGCAATCCTCAGAAAATTGTGAGTCAATCTACCTCAAGACCCACCTTTATCACTCTCAGCATATACCCAAAAGATGCTTCTCCATTCTACCACAAAGACAGTTTCTCAACTATGTTCAAAGTCACTTTATTCATAATAGCTTGAAACTGTTTTGTCTGTGAGAGATTGTGTCGATTGATGATTGATGTTGGAAGGCTCTTCCACTTAGGATGGCATGGGAAGGCCCCTCCACCCAGGATGGCAATATCCCTAAGAAAGTGGGCCTGGGATAGAAAAAGGAGCTAACTGAGAATGAGACACTGACTAAGCAAGACAGAAAACCAGGAGCAATCTTGGCCCATGGATTTTGCCTTCAATTGTTAGCTTGAGTTTCTGTCCTAATCTCCCAAAACAATGGAGTGTGATCTGATACAATCAGCCAAATAAACCCATTCATTGCCTGAGATATTTTTGGTTAGAGGATTTAATCACAGCAGGATAAAAGCAAGTTATAACAAAAAAATGGAACAACAAAAGTTACTTTGCTGCTAGGTAGAAACTGAGAATGTTGTCTTTGGAAAGAATGTTAGCCTGATACTTTAATTATTTTGTTTGTTTTTGAAGACAAGGTTTGGCTGTGTAGCCCTGGATGTCCTGAAAATACACTTCTGTACACCAGGATGGCCTCAAACTCAGAAATTCCCTTGACTGTGGATCCCAAGTCCTAGGATTAACAGTGGACCAGCATTATTTTTTTATATTATTGGGTGATGGGCTTGGAAGGTAGGTTTTTGAACATATCAGACATATGATGTTTAACTAAGCTTCATTGATATCTTGAACTTTAAAATTTGGCAGAGGGTTCATTCTGTTTCCCAGGATGGCATGTATTCATGATGTTAATACTGCCTGAGCCTTCTGAGTTCAGGTACATGAACTTCTTCATGCCTGTTGTGTTTGTTTTGAGTTTTTAAATGAATATGAGTATTTTATCTGTATACATGGATATGCACCATGTAGGTACCTGGTCATCACAGTGATCAAAAGATGGCCTCAGAAACCCTGATGTTGAAATAATGGGTAGTTGTGATCACCCATATAAGTACTGGCAATTGAATCCACCTATATGCAAAAGCAGCAAGAGCTCTTTAATACTGAGACATCTCTTCTGCCTTGTGTTGATTATTTATGATCATCCTATATATTGTTAATGTTTTTGTCTGTCTATTTGTAACTATTAAAACACACAGTACCTTTTAGTAAAATCTTATTAATGATAGAGTTTTAATTGAGACACTTTAGGTTTCTGGAAGATGAATACAGACCTGGAATGAATCCATAATTGTTTTTTTGAAACAGGGTTTCTATGTGTAGCTTTGCACCTTTCCTGGAACTCGCTTTGGAGACCAGGATGGCCTCCAACTCACTGAGATCCACCTGCTTCTGCCTCCCGAGAGCTGGGATTAAAGACATGCACCACCTCTGCCCAGCAAAGATTTATTTATTTATTATGTACACAGTGTTTTGCCTGCATGTATGCCTGCAGGCCAGAAGAGGGCACCAGATCTCATTATAGATGGTTGTGAGCCACCATGTGGGTACTGGGAATTGAACTCAGGTCCTCTGGAAGAGCAGCCAGTGCTCTTAACCTCTGAGCCATCTCTCCAGCCCCAAATCCATAATTCTTTGTAGAATATTCAGTCAAAACCTCTGAATTCTTTCTTTTTTATTTGTTTGACTGATTTTTACATGGAAGACAGGGAACAGGGGCTTAATATGTCCTTAATATGGATGTCCTGGACCTAATTGTATAGATTAGGCTGGCATTCAACTCAGAGGCAGACATACCTGCCTCTGCCTTCTGAGTGCTGGTTTTAAAGGCATAACCCAATTTGTCTATTTTTTTTGCAGTTAGTAATTGCTCATATGATTTCTTTGTACTATTGATCTGTTTACTTGTCTCTGTTTGTTAATAGGCATATCTCTTGCAAGGTGATATTCCATTGAAAGGGTACAGAAATGAGAGTTGAACTTCCTATTCAGTTTGCTTGCAAAATGATTTGGTGATTACATTACAATCTATATGTCATTGAATAAGTGTGGGGTGAGCCAGAATTATATGACTATTCTGTCAAATAAGTATACATTTACAATGTTGTCACTATCATGTTTTCTGTTGTACACATGTATGGAATATTTTAGAATACATTGACATATGATGATGTGCATGTCAACTTCACTTGGGAAGAGTGGACTTTGCTGGATCCTTCCAAAATCAATCTCTACACAGATGTGATGCTGGAGATGTAAAAAAAAAACCCTCACTACTATTGCTAAGACTGTATTTTTCTTCATATTTTAAAATAAGGGGACAACTGTTCCTTGGTTATTGATACTCTTCTGTAACATGATTGAGAAAGAAGAATGAGGTGAATGAAGCAAGCAAGGTTCTAAGGTCCGCTGAAGATAGTAACTAAAATTTTGCACAATTTTCAACAATATAATATACATTTTTTGGTACTGTATTTTAGGACACAGTTGGGAAGACCATAATGTTGAAGAATGTTGTGAAAATTCTAGAAGACATGAAAGGGAATTTTCCTGTGCAAGGTGATACAAATTTGACTCTGAAGAAATTGTAATATGTCCTGGAAGTTTTAAACAAAAGCAGCAGTGTAAATAGGCATAACTTAAAGTACATCAATAATTATTAAATTTTCACAAAACTGTATACCTCAATTTCAGGTAGGTGAATTGCATTTGCAAGGCATTCTTTCAAGAAAAAAAGACAAGGTCACAATGCCTAAACAGATATCACCATTTGAATAATAGCTCCAAGAGGGCTATGCTGTAGAACTGTCAATCCATTGAATTCATGCTACTCATATTACAAAAGTTTTACACACTGAAGAGATGATAAGTATATCTCCAAAACCTTCTAATAAGCAAATAGCCCATAGTAAAGCTAATTTTGCTCATATGCTTGCTTGTTTTGACTGTACTAAGTGTAGTGAGAAAGGCAGGTTGAGTGAAGAGTCAAGGGGCTGTTGCTGTGGAGAAATTTTAATCCCTATACCACAAGTCTACAAGAAACAGAAAGTCAAACTGTGAATTAAATGTGGAAAACTTACTTGTTATTCTTCCTTTCTTTCTTTTTTTTTAAGATTCATTTATTTATTATGTATACAGCATGTATGACTGCAAGCCAGAAGAGGGCACTAGATCTCATTACAGATGGTTGTGAGACACCATATGACTGCTGGGAATTGAATTCAGGACCTCTGGAAGAGCAATCAGTGCTCTTAACCTCTGAGTCATCTCTCCAGCTTTGTTATTCTTCCTTTACTAGTTATACCATATGTTACTCTGGATACAAGCCATATGAGCATAGGGGCATGGAATAATGTAACATACCTCTCTCTCTCTGAACAATTAGAAGATATGTAGCAGACCCTGTGTTCAGTAAACATGTTGAATTTGATTCAAGTATACAAGTAATTGATTTTCCAGCTTGCTTATTAATACATCAACTAACCCACACTGCAGAAAAGTTCTATGAGTTCTAGGACTGTGTAAATACTACTGTTTGTCCTAGTTCTCTTAGCAAATGTAGTGTGACTCACAGTACAGGAAAATTTATGAATGCAATAAGGGTAGTCAAGCTCTGAGTTTCTCCAGTTCTTGTCAAATGTGTGAAGAATCTCATATAGAAAAAAAATTTGTAAATGCAAACCATATAATAAAGGATCTAACCATACAGATATCTTCAAAGATGCAAAATAACCCTTAATGAAGGGGAACAACATGAATGTAAACACAGTGATAAAAGCTTAAGCTTTGATTCCTCTTTCCAATTGGACCAAATTGTAAAATTAATTAATACACATTTAAAGATTCAACAGTGTATTAAATGTTATAAAGCTTTTACATTTGCCAGTTATCCTTGCAGGCATGAAAGAAGCTGAACTTGAGGAAAAACTGCATATTCTTAATATTATAAAGCCTTTGTATCTCACAACCATCTTCAAAGTCATATAAGAACACACACTGGAGAGAAATCCTATGCATGTAATCAGTGTGGTAAAGCCTTTTCATATTATAATGACATTCAAAGGCATAAAAAACACAAACTGGAGAGAAACCATATGAATATAATCAATGTGGTAAAGCCTTTGCTCACCATAGTATTCTTTAACTGCATAAAAGAACACATACCGTGGAGAGATACCCTGTGAATGCAATTAATGTGGTAAAGCATTTGCATTTCTTAGTCATCTTCAGCTCTATAGAAGAACACATTTGGAGAGAAACTATATCAATGTAATTAATGTGGTAAAACCTTTATATATCATAGAAGTCTTCAAAAGTATAAAAGAACACATACTGAAGGGAAACCCTGTAAATGTAATAAATGTGGTGAAGCTTTTGCATGTCAAAGTAGTCTTCAAATGCATAAAAGAACACATATTGGAGAGAATCCCTATGAATGAAATCAATGTTTTAAAGCCTCTACACAGATTACTTTCCACATACATAGAAGAACACATACTGGTGAGAAATCCTATGAATATAATCAGTGTGATAAAGCCTTTGCATATATCGGTAATCTTTAAAATCATGAGAAAAAAAATCATACTGCAAAGAAACCCTATAAATGTGGTCAGTGAGGTAAAGTTTTACACTTTAAACAGGAATAAAACTTTTTGCATGTGATCAATCTGTCAAAGCCTTTGTGTATTACAATAGACTTTGACTACTTGTGAAAGATATTGAGGGCTTCTTATTATAAAGTATTTGGTAAGATCTTTAGTCAACACACTTATGATCTGTTACACAAGAGTATTTATTCTGTGGAAAAAAATTGACAATGTCAACAATGTGTTCAAGCATTATTATGTTTATTTTTATATTGTTTGCACTAGCAAACCCATGGGAAAACCAAATTTATGAGTCCCTATCTATAGGATAAAAGGGCCAGCAAAAGAAACGAACCCTGACCCTGAAGCCAGAGCCAGTGAAAGACACACACTTTGGCCCTGAAACTGCAGCCAAAGAAGCACACCCTGACCCTGAAACCAGAGCCAAAGAAACACTCTACCCTTGACCAGCTGAGCACAAAACCAACCACTCCCTGTGTGACAAATCAACCAATCCCTGAGCATGGAATCCAGCCAATCTCTGAGCTTGTTCAACCTCAGTGATTGAAATCTGACCAATTCCCACCCTGAAAATCTCTCTAAAAAAAACTCTACCCCTAAAAAGCCCTATATAAGCCCTTCGCCTGTTTAGTTAGCAGCTGCCCTTTTCCATCCTGGTAAAGGGCAGCCACTCTTCTGGATTCCTTTTTTTACAAATAAATCTCTTGAATGAGTTTTGGGTGAAGACCTTTCACCGGAGCAAATCACAAACTCATTGGATTGGAGCAGAGAAGCAACGAACACCTCTACTGGCAAACTCCTTTAAAGGAGCAGAGCAGAAGTAACAACTTTTTATGGGAGACTGCTACATTTTTGCAGCAGTTTCCTCTTACCTGAGGGAAACATAGAAGTAACAATTTGGGCTGGAGCTGAGAAGAAAGGGACATCTCTGCTGGGAAAGTTCCTAGTGGAATAGAGCAGAGAAGCCATGGACAACTCTGCTTGGAAACTCCCTTAGGGGAGTGGATCAGAGCAGCAATGGACATCTCTCCTGGAAAACTATCTTAACAGAGTGGAGCAGAGCCCAGCTGTAATGGCTCTCTTTTGTAGAGGAACATCATTGCTGCATTCTACCTTTCCCCACTGGAACACAGCTTCAGGTGTAGCTTGACTTCCTGACAGTGAAGATTCTTTTCTCCTCACAGCTGTAGTATCCAGGATACATTCCCTTCACAGCTGTAGGTATAGCCTGACTCCAAAAGTCAGTGTACCTTTCCTTTCAGAGCTATCACACTTGCACTATGAATTTAAATGATAATGAAACCCTTTAAGATTTTATTCTTGTATTCAATAACTAAGTCAGGTGTAAAACCTTAAGGGTTTGTATTAGTTCATTTTCTATTGCTGTGGTATAATGTCTAGGTCAAATTATAAAAGAGTTTAATTTGCCCTTTGGTTCTAGAGGGATGGATACAGCATCACCATGAAAGTGGCATGGCAACAAGTGTCAGACATGGCAGCTAAAGCAGAAAGCTAACAACTCACATACTTAATCCATACCATGAAGCAAAGAGTGGGAACCAGAAATGATGTGTGGATGTAAATTTTCAAAGCCTACCCCCAGTGACATATTTTATCCAGTAGGGCAGCATTTCCTAGAACTTCCCAAATGATACTACCAACTTAGAAAGATTGATTTCTCTGACTTCAAGCATATATGCTTGCTTTCTGTTTCATGAACAAATTCATGGTGAAGACAAACTCTAAGTAAGCCATTAGATGCCTCAATACCTGTGTTACAGGTGTGTATGCTTACAACAGAAAAAGTTCCATGAGTCAAAAATTGTTTGTTTAGAGAGTTGTTTTATTTGTGATGTCAGTGTGAGTATGTGAATATGCATGCTGATTCCTGAAAACATTCCACTTTTGAATCTTCTTGGAGCAGGAATTATAGGAATTTGTCAAAAATCAGACTTTTTTCCTGTGAATTGATTATTTTTTAAAAGCCCAGCCATGTCTTTATTGCTGTAAATATTTTAAAGCCTATTTATATCATTTTGAAGTCAGAAAATAGGGACAAACTCATAAGAGAAAAGCCCTATCCATGTAAATGATTTGGTAAAGACTTTAGACATCACAGTTGTCTTCAGCTTCAAGAAAAAATATCATGCTGCACTTATTTTTCATTGTAGCCCTGAAGAAATTAAATCACCATGTTCACTCAACACAAATGGTGGAGATCACTGCATTGTGTTTTCTATTTTAAAACATTTGAGATAGATACTAAAGTATATGTGTGGCAAATCCATTCAGTGAAGTTTATCTTGTGGTCTTTATATTCCTTCTGTGATTTTTGTTCATCTTCTATTGTGCTTTTACTTAGCAATGTTTTTTTTTCCTGCTGTAATATGTAGAGTGGTATTCCCATCATCTAAGTGGTCTATTGTTTATTTAAATATCAGGCAGTGTGTGATCAAGTAATGGTGTCTGTGAAATGGTGGTAGGTTTTTGTTTCTGATTTTGTTTTTTATATTTTCAAAAATTCCCTTGAGATTTTGTTGTTTGTTATTCAACTTGAACTCATGATCCTCATGTATCCACCACCTGAGTACAAGTCCAAAGGTAGATTATGTACTGCCAATGTGTGCTGTTTTGTTAACACAAATTAATGATGTTAATGTTAAAATGCTTAATGGAAGAGAATATAATAAACATTAACTAACTCATGTGTATATTCAAAGCAGTATTTTTATTTATCTGGTAAAGACATAATAAAGTATGATAATCAGCAGTCAAATGTGTACCTCATAGCATAGTTTGATGTTATATATATATATATATATATATATATATATATATATATATATATATATATATATATATATATATATATAATTTAATGTTCCATTCTTCTCCCTGTCCCCATTAGTTAACCATTTGGCATTTCATCTTGAAGTACTGCCTTCTAAGGTAATTATACAGATATGACAGATGACAGATAATGTAATTGCACTAAAATTTATTTTGTAACAAACATTTATGTTGTGTGTGTAATGTGAATTTGGGTTTGTAGGCCCATGGCAGATATATGAATAATATAAGACAACTTTGTGGTTTCTACTTTTGTTCCTCTTAATATGGTGATCACTGTCAGGTTTCCAGCCTTGCATACCACAGATGTTTCCCACTGAGCCATCTCAGTGGTGCTCAAATAAGTTTAGTAGAAATAGTACAATGGAAAAACTATTGTTCTCTTTTCAGATTGTAAACTTAATTTCATACAAGGATAAAGGAACATTGGATAATTTAAATAATAAATCCTCTTTGCATATGAAAATATTTATATGATCATACTTTTTTTAATTTGTTTATTATGAAGACTAAACATTTGTTTAAAACAATTTCTCAGAATCACAATTTAATGTTAGAGAATTGCCTCATTCATTAAAGTTGGTTGCTGCTAAAGCCTGATGACTGGAGTTCTATCTCTGAGGGACACATAATACTCCTCTCATTTTTTTCTCTTATTTCTACACTTGGGCAGTGGCAAATGCACACTCTTACATCAGCACATACATCAATAATAGTTACAGCTAAATAAGCAACATTAAGGTCTCTTGCAGCCAAATGACTACCTAGGTTTCATCACTAGAACTCACATAGGGGAAGTAGATAGTAGACAACTCTAAGTTGTCTTCTCATTGCTACATACTCATCATGGCACAGCTGTATACATACAAACATAGTTCAAACATTTTAAAATAGATTAAATTAACAAAACAAAGAAAATTACACCAGTTATTAAGAAAATATTAAATGATTTCCCATTTAAATTATAGAATTTCAAGAAATATTATGATTCATCAAAACAATGATGGTCCCTTTTCAAATCTTATTTTATCCATTCATTCTCTGATTCAATGATAGGTCATTTAAAAACATATATCTCACCTGGACTTAGAGATTCATGACTGTAATCCCAGCACTTGGGAGACTGTATTGGGCCAATCTCTGTGAATCTGAAGTCAGCTTGGACCCCATAATGAATTCCAGGGCATTCATGGCTATGCAAACATATCTGTCTCAAAAACAAATCCAAAAAGTAAAAGTATATTTTAAATTTTGGAAATTTTCCTAATACAATCTGGCTGAACTCTGGTTTCAACAAAAGTTTTGTTATCCTTACTCACATTAAGAGAACTGTGTTAACAAACAAAATGAGAAACAATGTAGAGAGTCCATTTACAGAGGGAGAGACATCCATTGAATCTTTTGACAAACATCTAGAGGGACTTTTTTCAACTTCAAGTGACAGGACAGAAGGAGCAGTGGGGCATCTTTGTTTTCAGCATTAAAATGAAATATTTTGAACCTGGAGAGTTGGTTCTGTTGTATTGCTACTCTAGGGTACCCAAGTGTGATTCCTAACACCCATATTAGGTTTGTCAGAATTACCTCTATTTCCAGTCCTGAAGTTCTAGTGCATTCTTCTGGCCTCTTAGGGCACCAGATATGTAAATGATAAAAAGATAGATACCTATGTTCATGTTCCTGTTTTCTAAAAAAAAGGATTAAATTTAATTTAATTGTATAAATGTTTCCAGGGAGTATACCAAGTACATGGTAGGTAACAGAGGTGACTAGATTATGTTGTCTAATCCCGTGACTGAAGGTACAGACAGTGGTGAGCTGTATTGTGGGTGATGGGAATCAAAGTCCAGCACTGTGGATGAGAAGCAAGTGTTCTAAGTGCTGAGCTTTATATTTAACCACATGAACGTGTCATTAATAGCATTAAGGTGTGAGGGGTTAATCTAAGTTCATCTTTACCTCAGCCCTGTTGACCTAGAAAAAAATATAAGATTGATGCCTGTAGCAGGGTCCTTTGCTGTTGTTCCATTTGGGGGTGGGGGCCAAGTAGGCACAGAATCAAACTACACAGACTCCGGGAGAATGTCGAAACAACAAGCTCAGTTTATTCAGGAAGAGGCAAGCCTTATATACCCTCCACCCCACCCTGGGGGGAGGTCTGATGAATATGCATCAGCTGGTGTGACATGACTGCCTCTCATTGGTCCAGCTCATCTCCAGATCATGTTTCAGCTGCTGTTGCTAAGACTATCAGGCAGACCCAGGCTGGCTCTCAGAAAGTATCTTTTTTACTTGTTTGGGCCGTCTGGCCCTCAAGCCCATTAGGGATTGTGGGAGCCCATTCTCGGGTTCCTTGTGGCTTTACCCAGCAGGTCCGCATAGAGGATGATTAGGACCATGGGCCTGAGTGCAGGTGTCTGAGATGGTCTGCACTTGGCTGTGCTAGGGGAGGAGGTCTTTTGCTCCACCCCTTGGCGTCTCTATAAAAACCCTGGGGCAGAGACAGTCAGGGCCCGTTGGAATAGGTTCCAGGCCCTCTCGAGGCTATCCTTTATTTAATATCTGTTTATCTCCACGATATTCTCTGCAATAAATCCTTCTATCTAATATTTCCTGCTGCTCGCACTCAAGAAAACTCTGGGGAACTGTGGGGGTGGTTGGGTAAACACCCCACAGAATGGCACCATGAACTGGGACTAAAGAAAAAAGAAAAAAAAGGACTAAAGAAAAAAAGGGGGACTTAAAAAAAGGGGAGGACTAAAGACAAAGTTATAGGTACTAAAGATAAAGGAAAATAATAGTTTTATTACAGAGTTTTTGGTGAAAGTGCTGAGTCAGCCCTGCCAGTGGAAAGGTATGCTGGTGTTATGGAAAATATATATTATATATATATATATATTATTGAGAGGCAGGGGTTTTATCCTCGAGAGAAAAGGAAAGCGGACTGGAAGGATGTCCAATGCTGCAGCAAAATTCTCTTCTGTCAAAATTTTCTATCTTCTATCCCTTTCTCAATTTCTATCTGTGAAAAATAAGTATAAGGCATAGGGTAGCAAAATAGAGTAGGAAAAACTTAGAAGTGTAAGATTGTGTAGGAAAAAATAAGTAAGGCAACTAGACAGAAAAACTCTTCAATTTTCTAACTTTGGGGGCTATGAATGCAAACTGGGGGAAAAAAATCTTTGGGCTTTATGGGTAGTAAAAAAGCTCTTTGAGCTTATGGGGAAGAAAAGGTTTCCTATGGAAGCTTTTGACCTGGGGACAGCTGAAATGCTAAATTCAAGCGGCAGGAGAAAGTAATTTCTCCCTGAGGCAAAATGGGGGTGTAAGAAGTCAAAGTTTAAAGTTGGGAAGTTTTGGGAAAGTTGGTTTTCTCCTGGGGGGGAAAAATCTTTCTCTTAAACTAAAAGCTTTTCTTGGAAAATTTGGGGGAAAAAATCTCTCTAAAAAGCTTTAATCTTCCTCAAAAACTCTCAAACTTAAAAACTAAAGCCTTTAACTTTCTCTCTCAGAAGGACAAAAAATTAGAATCACCTGAAGATATTAGTATGGGGACCACCTATGATTAGCTCTAAGGGAAAACAACAAACCTCTTAAGACAGCAAAACCTCTCCAAGTTCTTTCAAGCTTTAAAAATCCTCCCTGCAATGCAGGAGGCAGGGACAAGTTCCTAAAAACCTCTTCTAAGCTGTCTCTTCAAACTAGTAAAAGACAGTGGGTCAGAGTACCCTGAGGGAAACACTTGGGAGAGTGTGGGTAAAGAGCTACAGAGAGCCCAAAAGGGCCTGAAACTTTACCTGACAAAAACAAAAAAGCCAAGCTTTTCAGTTACAGCTGAGCTGAGGCATCAAGGGTTTTGTTTCTGAGTGAGCATTTCAGAATGAAAAGGTGCTCCTAATTGTCCTAATGCAAAGATCCCCTGAAGCAATGCAAGCTGTTTGCATTGTATCCTCTCTTCTGACCAAAAACCCAGGGGTGACTGTCCAGCGTCTCTGAGTTGGGGTGCATTTCAGGGATAGTAGGGTTCCTGCAGTTGTAAACTTCCTGGAGCACAGAGCTGAGGCAGGAAGGTGCAGGACCCAGGGGAAGATTGCCAATGAACAAAGCTAAAGCCAGTGGGAATGGCACAGTTATCTACTTTCCTACAAGTCCCGGGTTGATAGGTCCACAACTGCAAAAAGAAATCTGAGAAAAAGCTTTCCTATCAGAGTAAGGGCCTTTCTGGGAAAACAGCAAAGCTGAACTGTCTGAAGCAGTTGTGCTGCTGAGTCAGAACGCTGTCTGGGGAAAGAGCCCAAGCCAGGGCAGAACAGAACTATCCAGGAGTAAACCTTTCTTTTCTGTCAGAGAAACCATCTCTGAGAAAAGCTTTGTTTCAACTGACTCCAGGTGAAATGAGGAAGTGTAGCCCTAAGGAGTGATTGCCTCTGGCATAAGCTCTGTCCTTGAGCACCCAGACAAGCAAATGCAACCCACTGGGGGACTGGGCCAGGTGAAGGCCTGATGAGGCAAAACACCTGTCCTAATGGGAGTTTAGCAATGGCAAAAACCTCCCTTGTTAGATTTTCAGTCTGTACACAAACCACACAGACCCCGAAAACAAATGGACAAAAAACCCTACCTTCAGCAGCAGGGAAAGCCGCCACTGTAGTGTTGGAAACTGTTTCTGGGGTAGAGGGGATAAACTGAGACGAAACTGGCAACTGTCTGGGAAAAAGACTCCGAAGAAACAGAAGGGACATAATCCTCCACAGAAAATATATGACCTGAAACAGCTGCTAGAATCCGAGGCAGATTTGGGGGGAGAAAAAAGCCCCTACCTCCAAAGGCAGCTAGCAGAGGTACAGAGCCGCAGACAGAT